TGACTCAAAGGTATTGAGGTTTATTATAGCACATATATATATTATATATATCTTATAAGAAAATTATATTTAGTCGATAATACTCCTGCGGTTTTAGGATTCCTTTAATCTTATCATATAAATAATAAAAACAAAATTCCAATTATCTATATATCAGAAATGACATACATTAAAAAACAGTCATTGGGTTTGAATAGACAAAATGATATAAAAACTTATCGGATGCCTATCTTCCCATTCTAGATCTATTGTCCCCCCACTTAATTATATCAATCCTATTACAACGTATCAGATAGGTATTGCTAAAAATTCTTATACATGTCATTCGATTGTAAGTCGGCGAAAGAAAATGTCATACAAATAAATGTGATCGGAGAATTAGTTGTCCGAAAGATCTAAGATAATTTTTATACTACATTATGTATTTTCATAACTTTAACGATAGAATATTTTACAGTACAATAATGACATTATCATAAATAGATTGTTTATGTATGTGATCTGTAAATCAAAATTCCTGAGTAATGATTCTACCGTATATTATACTTTTTGAGTAAGGATTCACTATATGACAAGATAATCGTGTCTAAAAGAACTTCAAGAACTGTATTTAACAATAAGTAATGAGGAAATTTAATAAAGTAAGAAAAAGATAATTTAATTATTTATGTATTTTAAGAAACATGTAATTCTATATACGTTCACTGAAGAGGACCGTTAATAAAAGTCGAAACGATTGAAATTCGTTTTTATTATTTATATGATAATATTAAAATATTAGCGCACATCAATTTGCTAGGCTCGGACAAGGCCCTTCTAAATTATATATTTTGGAATTGAAAACAGAAAAACAAGTAATTAAAAATATATTATAATTAAGAATATAATTTCATGAAAAAAAATTAAAATACAGATTTTTGTATTGTATTTGAAAGTAATACAAAAAGTTTGATGGCGATTTAGAACCTGAATCCAAAATTATTTCAATAAGAAATAGACATAAGATAAAATGAGAAAAATTTTATTTAAACTATAAAATTGTATTGTTAAATATTTAAATATTTGACTTTATTAAATTTTCAATTCCAATCACTTCATGCATAGACTATACTGATTCTTAATAATGGAGAAGTGGAAAAGGTGTCTATCAGCTATTTAAGAATTCTTTGAAAATAAAGTATTTATTTTGGATTAGCTGTTTAAATAAAACGAGGCTAAATGTGAAAAGTGAGAAGTGTTAATGACTACATGCTAAAATAAGGTATTGTAATCTGCTTGGGATGATACTTTAAAACGTCACAGGTGTCATTTTCGCACGAGTCTTTCGTGTTTGAAGAGATAATTAGACCATTAATTTGGGATAAGACCGTTATAGACTTGTTAATCGTAATCAGGTGATGTCTGAAGTTGTCAAGACAGATTCTTGTTGATGGGGTACAACCGGTGGATGATGTCACGCGGTGCGTTAAAATTGGATCGAATAATTTCGAAAACTACGCAGATTCAGAAGTTGAAATTACATTCTTAGAAAAATCCAGTTTAATATTAAAAATTACTTTCTTTCAGTATTAAAAGCATTAAAGAACAAGTGCTTTTATTACTTAAAATAAGCAATTAATCACTATTTTCCAATTTTATTTGTAATTTCTGTAAGGATTTTCAACATGTGTAATCAATACTGCGACTTTAGAGAATTCTTTAAATAAAACAATTAATTCTAAGCAATCGTAAGACTTCTTTGTAAGAACTTATGTCTGGAATGCTTGTAACTGTAGAATGCAGTATTTTTACAAACAGCTTCTTGCTAGCCATAAGAAATCGTCGATTTATGCATAATCGTACTTTTGATACGCATATGAATTACAACTTTCAGTCATATGTTCTTATACGAGAACAAGTTACAAATTTTATGATTCTGCTTGAAAATTGACCCATATGTCTTAAAATTATTATTGAATATTTTATATTCTTTTTTTTCTCCATCTGAGATCGAATCAAGATCGAATCCGATTGACTTTAGTCAAATTACATTAGACTGACAAACTTGCGTGCTAAAAACAAGATGCATTTGTTAATTCGAATCCGTTCTCACGATTTATACGGTTCGATTGTATTTCGAGGCCGAGAGCAGGATAAGAAGATTGTCCAAAGGAAGCAGGATCATTCTAATAAATACATGCCTGCAACAAAGCGTGAACGCCATCGGATTATTTTTAGCCAGCGGAATAGGGTCTATCCCCTTCGCCATGGCTAAAAATAGCTGGTAAGGCCAATCCAGGCCCAATTATCCCATTTAGATATTTAGGTGACAATCGACTGACCGCCAATTTAGAAATATTCCACTGGACTCGAAGTGCGAATATTCACGCATCACGCGTATTAAAGTTCATGCTTCTTTGTAAAAAAAAAATCTTCCGATTCTCCGCAGAGTCAATAAAATCACTAGAAAAACATTTGTTCGAACTTTGTGTGTAGAGGAATAAGTTAAATTATCTCAAAAACTTGAGATAATTTAACTTATTCCTCTATTATTATTCAAACAATAAAGTTAAAAGGCTTTGAACCAAGTTGGGTTTTAATTCTAGTTAAATAATAAATACGAACAATAAATTACAAAAGAATTTTAATAAATAATAGAAATTACAAAATATGACAACGAGGATCGAAACATTTATTATATTTTATATTGTTGTAAAATTTCCATCATTTATTATGACTCTTTTCTAACTTGTGTTTATTATTTAACTAGCATTAAACATAGTTTTGCTCAAAGTTTTTCATTCTATTGTTTGAATAATAAATGAAACTAGACCACACGTAATGTGAATATAAATGTGAATACAAATAAGCAAGAGGCGCGTTAAATATACGATCGAAGCTGGATTTTCTCACGCTTAAAAATATTTCTGTGTAAATCTAAAATACGTAAATCTTTCAGTTAAATAAAACTGCCTGTTGATTATTATCGGACTCGAAATGCAATCATAAATTGAAACTGAAATAATAATATATCAAATTAAATTGATCGTCAATTTAATAATGATACTAATGAGTATCTTAACATTTGATTAAACTTAGAATTAAGATAAAAGCAACATCGAAGAGCATTGCGCGCACTTTCAAGATATGCGTAAATCATTAACTGTCAATTCAGTTTTCAACTACAGAGAAGTTATTACTGAAATTATTACTGAAGCAAAACCGTTAACGATCAAATTTTTAGATAACATACAAACTTTATATAAATATTCTACAAATATTTATGAAGAATATCTATATAGTCTATGTACTAAAGGTATTAAAAACTGTCATATTCATGGCATGTTCATAGTCTCGAATGACATTAATATAAATATTTTGTAAACATGCGTAGAATATTTTGTACAACGTTCTGTAGAATATGCTATTAATTTTTATATTCTATGAATATTTTTTTTGTTACACTGAGAAAAAAATTGTTCATTTAATTAAATAATTTTTAAAAGTTAATTCATCTTTATTTCTTTTATTGGAGAACGTATTTAAGTTGAATATAATATGTTCAATTTAATACATCCTTCACCGAAAGAAATAAAGATAAACTAAATTAATTTAGCCAAATGAATAATTTTTTTCTCGGTATATAAATATAGATATCTAAGTAGAATATCCTATGTATATTTAAAGAACATTCAATTTAAATATTTCAAAATTAAGAATATTTGTTTTTTAACAATAAGTAAATGTTAATATAGCTCATAATGTGTAAAGCAATATGTAGAAATAAAGCTAACAGCGAGAAAATTCAAGATATTATATTTTACTGATAAAGCTGATAAGAGCATTATATCTTTTTATCATCATTATTAGTGAAAATTTCCAAATTAATAAATATGTAGTACAATGTAATACAAAAGAAGGGCAAAGAGTCAGTAATGTATAAAAGAGCTTTAATTTAAATTAGCATTAAAAATTCATATAAACAATTACAATTAACAACAAACGTTTCGACTCCATCGAGTCATTCAATGTAGTCTTAATATACTAACATCGTTCTAAACCAAAAATATGTATATGATATTACAATACTATTTTAATTTTTAATATCGTATTTTTCATTCTGTGTAGTACGCTGCGAGTCATTTTTATCAAGAATCAAAGTAGTCATAAGAAAATTCTGGAAAAGTAACCATGAACAAAAAGAATTAATATTAACTACATACAAATTAGTTAGGTAGGTATATAATAATGTACCTTGTCATCAGTGATATCAGTAAATGTGTTAAAAAGTCCATTAATAAAAAGAGAGAAAAAAACGCAGGTAGATGGTAGTTCATTTCGTAGTACAATATATTAGTTTTTTTATTATATAAATTATTTTAAACAAATTTGCAAAAGTAACGAACATCTAATTTTCACGATGTCAGATAACAAAATGTCAAGAAGAAAAACTTGTTACTTGACATCTTGCAACATTTTAAATTTGCTCATTGTTGGTCTTATTTCTGCGTAGCAAATAACTGTCTAAATGCATGTAGTGTTTTTATTTAAAGGACGTCCTGGGAACATTCTGGGAACATTCCTTAGGATGGTCTTTGAATATCTTAAAGTTTTTCTTAAAGATCTGTGCTGTATTCTAAATTTCGTGGAGTAAATTCTCATTCTAAAAGAATGAAAATATTGTCACAAAAAAATGAAAATATTTGCATTCTTAAATAAGAGTGACAGATTTTCATTCTTGTAGAGTATGATTTCACTTTTTTGAAGTGTGAAATTCTTTTAAAAGGAGAGAGATTCTTTCACTTCTTTGGAGTGAACCTCATTCCAAAAAAAAAATGAAAATCTACTCTTATTAAAGAGTGCCAATATTTTCACTTTTTTCAATAGCTTTTTTCACTCTTTTGAAGTAAGATCTCATCACTTCAAAAAAATTTAGAATGATAAATATGATCCTTCAAAGCATCAAGTTCTTCGTCTCCTACGACACGCAACCCGCCTAACGAATGTGTATTGTTTTGCAGGGCCGTAGGTCGCAGCATGGGACAACGCAAATCGGGCGCCCTGGGCGCCGCGGCGCCGATGTCGACGGAGGAAGAGCAGCTGAAGTTTCAAGACAGCAGATTTCTGGCGACTTTGGTGCTTGGCAGAAGTAGGTGAGTGACCGAGCGTGACTGACTGACTGACTGACTGACTAACTGCCTATACCTACACCTATCTACCTACGTCTTACTACGTCGCTACGTCAGAAATCGTGAGGCACGTGATCGGTGTACGCGACCCACATCGGAACTCTGGGATTCGATTGCGCACGGACTATTGTTGCGAAGTCGAGTGCGAAATTTCGTCTGATCGATCGCGACGGGAAATAATTGAAAAAAGTAGCCGAGTGTTCGTTTTCGTGATTTCTTTTTTGGCCATTACCGAAGCTGTATATTTCTGACGAATCCCACCGAAGAGTGTGAGTAAACGCCTGTTTTTACGTTTGTAAACACTGAATGTTTACAGAGATTTGAACCAGTGACGATCCAACGCAGCGCGTAAAGCCGTAGCTATCTAGTTATCGTTGCGTATCTAGTTATGATGTTGCAAACAAGATTTAAATCCTCGTACGACTTGATGTCGAAATTAAGACCAGAGATAAATTCTTCTTAAGCACAAACTAACAGTAACACTGCACCAATATTATCGTATAATTTCCCATTCAATAGTACAAATGTAATATGACACATGGTGTATTGGGTCGGAACGAAAGTTCGTAGCACTATGAATTTTAAAATTCAATCAACTGTAATTAAGATAAGTTTGTTAAAAAGGAATGAAATTTCAATTTAAAAAAAGAGTTTTTAAATCTCTACTTTCAAAAGATCAGTAGTCAACTCTTTGAGTTTTCGCGAGTTTGATAATTGTTACTTATAGAAAACCACAAGCAGGACAAAGTGGACAATTTTCTTCTCATTTCGTGAACCTGTCACGTGCTCAAAAAGTTTTGCGAAAATTTTCGACTTTCTAACAAGAAAGCTTAAAGTTCTTCCTAAAAAATCATTTTTTACAAAAATATTCTTAAAATTTTCGTTATTAAATTATTTTCAATTAAGGGAAAGGAACATTTTCACAACAATATAATCGTATCGACTTACAGAATAAATCAACTGATTAAAAAAGGAGCATTAAAGCCTACACTGTTCTTAGTGTGATAACATTTTCTTTTTAAGTGATTACTTTAATCATAAATGATACAATAAATGAACATAAATGTTTCGACCTTCAATTAGGTCAGCTCCAGTATATACAAGTTTCAAATTTTCCTAATTCGTTTACAACTAATTTGCTATAAAAACTTGGTTTTCTTAACAGAATTTAATCATGTCATACATTCATTAATTATGTCAAACATTTTGACATTTTTGACAGTGATCTCTTTTGCACCAAGTATGTGACACGTGTATTAACTATATATAGTAACTTTCTACTAAATTATCTTAATTTCAGCTGTATTAAATTACAGTATGCATCGAAATGATTAATTAAATACACATATTATATGTTTGCACGCGTATCGTTTAAATTAAAATAATTTAATAGAAAGAAAAAGTTACTACTCGCGTATCAAATGCACGACAAAATTATATCTTTGTTCATAACTCCGTTAAAATCATCGTATCACTGCAATTCGAAAAACAAATTCAAAAGCTGAAACTGCTCAATCGACTAATATAATTACCAACTTTTTTTGAACATGTAGTACAAATGAAGTAACGTTACGAATTTTTGTTCTGATCTAATATCTGTATAACAATTACATTGTTAAGTGGAGTATAAATTATAACATCATAAATCGTAGGTAATTGAAGTAGCAAGATGAGGACACGTAAAATCTCAGTAAACAGAATGTGATGACATTTTGACGTTAAAACGATAACAAACAACGTCAATTTGAGGGAAATGTGTTACTGCTTGTGTTCGGCAAGTTGTTATCCGCTACTCGAAACTTACTATCAGGATATTCATTTTTTCGGACCTGACTGCAGATCGGAACCGGTGCACGAATGTGATGATTTTTAAAAGAGTGCTGCAGACGAAGAAAACAAAACACTGAATCGAAACATTTAACGAATGGTCGGTTTTATATATATATATATTTGCGGAGGAGAAACACCTATCGGTCTCGTACGTGATAAAGGTCATCTCGATGCAAATAACGAGTAACGATAACATTCCGTAGATAGACGTAATTTAATTTAATTTTCTAATCGCGCGCTATGGGATTCATTAATTGCGAAAAATTGGGCGATATCGTCGTATCGATAAAACACGGAATCCTCGACTTGTCGCGTCTGTCGATTAGAGATAATGACAGTTCTAGGTACTCAAAGATTAACGCGTTCCAGAAAGAGATGATCACGAACGGGAAATCACAAAGCTCGCGTTTGAATTGATATCGTCCCCCTCATGTTATCCACCTCTGGAACATTGCGACATCAAAGATGTTGATTTTAACAATTAATTTAATTTAATGAATGGATAGTTTATTACTTCAATTCATTCAATTTAATTTATTGCGTATGAACAAATTTTACATAAAAGTTACGTGAAAATGAAAATAATGCCTACTAAATATCTTGTATTAAATATAAGAAACAAAAGAAAAAAAGGAAAAAATAATTACTACTGTCATATCGCTACTTTGCTACGACACTCTACAAAAGATTGAAAAGATTAAGTAAATAAAATGTTCTGAGATCAGAAATGTGAATACACAAGAAAAGCCTCAACGATTTAAGCTGGATCTTGTGCTTAAATATATATTAAATATATATTTATATACATACCCAGTTCTAAAAAAATATAGTTTTTTAACAAACATTTCAATATTTTGAATCATTAAAATTTTACAATATTAATCTTAAAGTGCAATTTTAGTGTAATAATTGATTAAAGAATAAAGTACGTTCTTTTAAAGTATGTTCTTTCGTTTTCTCTTTACATTTCCGTTCTTTTTCTACAAGCAATGTCACACTAAAAAATGATAATTTTTTTTTAGTTAGATCGTTGTAGCAAATGAACGATAATATATATGTCGTAACCATTTTTTTACACGGATAATTTTAGTAAAGGCAGATTTCTGATAATTCGTTGAATGTTGTGCTGCGAATATTTATGATCGGTGATGAGAATAGCTTTATCTTTCGGGCCAATTAAAGCGATCGGCGTCACTGATTGCCGCTTACACTACTTAACAATTAGAAGCGCCGCCTCAAGATGATTGTAGTAAGAATGTGATGGATGGATCTATGATTAATTTGTTGTGCATATATAGGCCGACCACGCGCGGTTCGTCATCACTCTGTTGTTTGAGAAATCGTTTCAATGAATCGAGATGCGGGTTAGTTATCGGTGGACGCATTCTTTTTTGATGGAACTGCGTCTTAATATAGGAAATTAGAATGAGAGCGGGTCTTCATCAAGCGCAATCCTCGGGATTTTATTTTGAACAGTTTTCTCTTTGCTTCTTTCTTCTTTTCTTTTAATATCAAGTCGCCTATTCTTTGTAGCTAAACTAATGTACACTTATATTTAAAATAATGGAATAAGTATATTCACTATTTGACAAAAAAGTCAGGCACAAGTCTAGACGTTGCGATTATTTTCATACAGCTATGTAAGATTTTCCTCGTAAATCTTACGCGTTGAAACCGTATCTTATCAAAAGGAATCGAAATAGTTACAAAATAAACGGTAATATACAAACTTAGAATAGATGACTAATTTTATTACTATAAAGTTATAAACATATACTATTCGAAACGTTTCAATTCATACAATCCTCTTCAGTCGTTACAATCAATAAAAAACAAATAAATCAAAAACTATCACTGTCAGTTAAAAAAGATACCAAGTGTAGAAAGCAAAGTGCAATGTAGTCAGAATGCGAGTTTTATTTTAGTCCAATAATGTCAATAATAGAATCCTCAATGTTAATAATAATCTTCCTTTTATCTGCTTAGTAACGAAAAAAGGGCGTCCCGTGTGAAGTTAAATTTTAAAAAGAAGAATAACGTCAAAAATAAATATAAAATTAAAAGTTGTTTTGTGTAAAATGTCTAAAAACGCTCCAAAGCATCTACTATCTGTGTGATGTTAGATAATAGAATCGAAATAGTACTGTGTCGTTTTACTGTATCTATCGTGTTTCCAAGATAATGGTCTTTTGATCTAGACCTGTATGTATATTGAAAGAAAAGTTTTTTTTTTAAATTATAGTATAATAAATTATTTTTGTTACCGCTCGTGTATATGCTAAGCAAAGAATAAACAAATTAGGGGTCAAATATTATACAACTTATAGATGACGGTAATAATAAATTTATTAATTTGTCATAGATGCACACTTCACGGTGATTTAAATCGTTTGCTTACTCATCATGGATTTATTGTCTCTATATATTAATTCGTAAGAGGTTTTATGGCTAAAGAAAGCCAAGTTAACATTCCGTGAGATATATATCTACGATAAATTAATAAATTTATTATTACCGTACCATATAAATTTTGCTCGTTTTAATATTTGACCTTAATTTATTCTGTTTTTTTTTTATATTTCTGACTATAATTATATGATTAAGAGCTCCATTTTTATTATTATTATTATTATTACATATATGTATACAGAGCTGGGCACATTTCAAATACTTGTATATATATAAATTGTACTTCAAATACAATACAAAATGCATTTTGTATTTTGTATTTCAAATACAATTTCAATGTAGTTTGTATTTGAAATGTCAAAAAAAATCTTTGATAATTTTTGAAGCAATGCGAATAGACCTACTGGCTGCATTCCGAAACGTTAAGCCTGGCAGAGAACGAGATGTAAGGGAGCGTTTATATTGAGCATAATCTATAAGAATCGACTAATCACAGTCAAGTATTCCCCTCTTATTTGACTGTAAGAAGGGAATACTTTCCTAAGGTGAATGGTCAATTTTTATAGTTTACGGCATACGGTTACGGCCAATATAGACGCACGGTTATGGTCGTAGTCATGATATAGTTGTAAGTGGTTGTAGTTGTAAGAATTGACCAATCAAGTCGAATGTGAGGAGAATATTTGGCTATGATTAGTCAATTCTTACAACTATAACCACTTACAACTATGCTTATAACTATTGTAGAATAGGCTTAAAGTCTATTCTAGAATAGGATCGCAAGCCGTAAACCGTAAGGAATTAACCAAATTATAATCGATTATTTTTTTTCATATACAACTGTGATTGGTCAATTTCTTACAGTTAGGCAGCGAAGAACATATAGATGTCACAGTCCGAAAAGTGCTAGGAAAGTCCTCTGTCATTTAAAAATGATATAAATTCTGAGTGCAATTAATATCGTTTGTTTTACAATAAATGATTATGTGTGACGCTCATGTCTATTTTATAATTAAAAAACATTTAGAGAAAAATGAAATGAATAAAAAAGCCCATTAGAGTCTACATCAGTTGTTCGAATGCACAGAAAATTTTTTATTTTCGTGTGAATATAATAAAATGGAAAAAATTAATGTTTCGATTCGTTAACTCTTCGATTCGGGTCCTTATCAATATAAAATATAAATCGAAATTACATAAGTAACGCAAATTCTAAGTTGATGATTCTCGATAATTTAGTTCGTTCTTCTTTATCCAAATTAGCTATGTAATGAATAACCCAATGATTATCAAAAATATTAACTTATACAATAATAATATAAAAACTTACATAAAGTAAAACCGAAGTCATATACATTCCGTTACTAAGTAGACTCACATCGCTCATCAAAACATTTAGAAGTTTATTGTATTAAAAAGTATTTTGTATTTGAAATACAAATTTTGGATGCATTTTATATTGGAAATACCTACAAAAAAAAATATTTTGTTTTTCAAAACAAAAAATTTTGAAATATTTTGTATTTGAAATACAAAATTTAAAAATATTTTATATTTTGTATCTCAAATACTAAGATTATCAATATTTTGTATTTTGTATTTCAAATACAATACTTTGGTGATGTATTTTGTCCAGTCCTGCATATATATGTATATATATATATATATACATGTGTGTGTGTGTGTGTGTGTGTGTGTGTGTGTGCGCGCGCGCGCGCGCGTGTGCGTGTGCGTGTATATAATTTATATCGAAATGTAAGCACTAACAATAGGGTAAAGACTATTATGAGATAGGCTCTTAATATGAGATAGCGAGGTGTCTACTAAACTAATAAACGCATGTGATTGGAACCATGAATTTTTTAAATCATGCTTGTAATTGTTGCAATAAAAAATTTATGAAATTGGATGTTGTTAAATTTTATTGAGGTTATTCTTTAAATCTTGTTTTATTACATCAAAATAAAATTTGGTAATAAAATTTGCATGCATTGAAGTCGTATTGATAAAAAAATACGTGATATAATTTGTTTAATTGTAAAAATTATATTTGATGAAAACTGCAAGACGTGGAAGTCGTAGTATGAGGTACTATTTCTAATATGAGAGCATCTAAACAGCTTTTAAACGATTCAATATTTCAAAGCATACTTTTCGACGATACCTATGTCGATTGTTAAAATTTTACACATGCACATCGAAAAATTATATAATTATTATGTATGATATTAAAATTTTAAATTCTTTGTTTCTACTTTTATGTAGTATAATAAAAGCGTATATAAAAAGCTTTTTATTTTTTTTCATAATTTCTTATTATGAAAATACCATCTTATATAATCTAAGGAAACCCTTGTATCTCACATTAAGAATCTTTTCTTTTGAATGAGCAAAATCGGCACTTTTGATAAAAAATTTCACATACAACAAAGTATAGCTATTATCGATTACTAACTTTTGGCGATAAAACTTAAATATATTTCCCATAAATTTGACATGAAGGTAGAAGTTAAAGAAATTAAATAAATTACAAGTCTTTAAAAAAAGTATCCCATAGATGACTTCATCCTAATTCATACCGTCTAGTCTTTTATTTAACAATTAACTGAACGATAATTACATTTATTATATATGTATACAGAGTCATTTTAAGTGATACATTGAAATATCTCAAAAAATATGAAAGATACGGAAAAATGTTTTAAACAAAAATTGCTCAGTTACTAGAGCGAAAAGAAAGTGAGTGAAAGACTTTGATTGACCTAGAGAAAAATGTTTTTAAAGTCAAGATTACCTAACTTTTTTTTAATAGAAACCCTAATTTTTTATTTCATGTATGACTGACGTCAAGACCTTTTTAAAACACTGTAATAAAATATTTTTTCATTGAGTACTTTACAAATTATACAGATCAACGCTGGAGGCGCTCCGTTTGACCAATATATACATAATATTCGTATACATAATATTTTCGTTCATTTTTGTATGCGGTATTGTTCAAAAATATGATTCTAGGCCTTTTGTAAACAAAAATGAAAGAACTCTAGTCTTTTATCATTAAACACGTTCTCAAAGACAAAGCAATTAACCTGTGCAGTCAAGTTGAATATAATTGATTGGATTTTCAGGTAAAAATTAATTGTATTCGATTGCTCAATAAGCAGGTTAGAGACTTGTTGTTATTTGATTTGTTCTTTGTAGCTGAACTAATGTACACAATGTTGAAGTTTGAGAAAATTTTAGTGCAGTTCAGTGCTAACAAAGAACAGACCTTTCTTTTTTGCTTTCATCAAATTTTAAGTACAAATGTACCTGAGTGTACCTTAATTTAAAGAAAACAATTAATATTTTGTTAACAATTAATTCTGCTGGCTTGAAACGTCTGAACGCGCCTATTGAATCTTTAGTCGTGCTAACAAGTTGGAAATTCAAGCAAGGGAAGAAAAATCTTTAGTTTAAAAGTTTAACATTAAGAAATCGATCTTCGGTCTAATAATCCGTTTCTCCATATAAATAAAAATATTCAGAAATTGAATTGTGCTCAGGAGCTAAATTAATGATCAGATTTGTGTCAAAATAAAAAAATAGATAAAATTGATGAAAGAATAATACAAATTAATTCTGATACTGAAATTTGAAAAGGAGGATACAACTTTTTTCGCGATCGTTCGAGGATTGTTTTATTTTAATATTTTTTAATGTATTTTTCTTCATAGAAATTAAAAATTATCATAACGGCGCTATAGAAAAAATTGGTATCTACATTAAAATAAAGTTACTCAAATACTTATTCACATTGTTATACGAAATTGCTGTCAGTTAGTTTCAATTCAATCATTTAAAAACTAATTCAAAGATTCAAAAACTAATTCAACAATTCTGAATTTCTTTGTAAACGATTGATTGAAGCATAACAGCAATTTCATAACGATGTTAATGTTGTGAATAAAGACTTCCCTACTGAAAAAAATCATACAGTTGCATGATAAAGTCATGTAATTTAAACATGTAAATCACGTAACGGATTGTTTCAAATCAGTGATTTTTTAAAATTATGTATAATAATTTGAAAAGTCACACGATATTATGTTCTTTTTTCTTCTATTTCTATCATTCAATTCTTTAAAATTTGACAACTATAAAATCACATGATGGATGAAATTATTTTTAATATCATGTGATTTTTTCAAATTAGGTACATTTAAAAAAATAAGGTTTATTCTTTATTTTAACACCAATTTTTTCTTGAATGTAACGTAAATTATTATACTTTTTTATTTTTTATGAAGAAAAATATGTATATAAGAGAATGTAGAAATAAAATAAATCTCTAAACAGTCGTAAAAAAAGTGTAAGTTGTATTTTTTGCTTTATCAAAAATAGGTGCTTTCTATTTGATGACTCAAGTATCCTTCTATTTTTATTGTTCTCTAAATGCGAAGAAAGATAGCGTTTGTTTGTATGTGTATCGACTTGTGTCACTAATGTTCATTTCTTCTAAAGTAGATTAACTTTATAATCTCTCGGTTTAATTTACCCTTCATCTAATTAGTAGAACTAGGGGGGAAAAGACAAAAAGTAAGGTAAACCGAGATTATACAAAATTAATCTCTATTAATATAGAAATAGACAGGGTTGGCAACGTTACCCCATAAAAATAACTCGTTATCGTTACCATTCTTTTTCCCCAAAAGTAACTCGTTATCATTACTCGTTATTGATTTGCAAAGGTAATTCGTTACCGTTACTCAAAATGAATGGTTACTTTTTCATTACTTTTTTTGCTTGATGCTAACAAAAATATCATAGCGTTTTTCATTGACAAAACTCTGCACATTAAAGCTGTTGTACACTACTCTAATCTGAATGTAAAAATGAAATATCTCAATTGATATAACGTCCAAAGGGCATTTTATTTAATTTAAAAATTGTCAATACATTTTATTATGCTATTTCATCAAATAAAATATATTGAAGATTTTTTTTGCGGTTTATCGCATTTCTATATTTTTATTAAACATATGCGTCGATTTGTGTGTATGGATTTAAGTTGCACTGAGTGCACATTACTCAGACAGCACAGAGAATATTTATGATAAATGTTTATTAATATTCATTTTGTAAAATGTTATATAGACATTTCATACATATTTTATATAAAGCTTTATTCGAAATATTATTAAAATATAGACTAAATATTTTATATAAATGTATTTATGATAAATATAAATAAATATTTCTAATAAGTATTTTTTACTTGGATTATAATATCTCATTAAGTATCTTTACACCATGTACTATAACATGTACAATAAATATTTCATAAT